TTCTAATAAAATTGATAGCTTAAGGAAATTTCTAGCAAGAAAGAGTGTTGTTTTATGTAAATATGGTACTGTTCGACTGTAAATGTGTTCGTATGTAAATGTAGCGTGAGCATCTAATAAACCCCGTTCCCTTCCGATAGATAAACTACCAGAGAGCAACGAAGCGAAAGATGGGTTTAAATTGAATATCAGTTTCTAGAGTATAAATGTAATCACAGTTGTTAATTTCTTATATGACGTTGCAAATTATTGTTTCGTCTGAGATTACATATGAATTGTGTTTTACAAGCTTTTAAAATATTGTTCCGTTTTACCAAATATGATGTTCAAAGCCTCGAAAGCCCATACCTCCCGGTTACCTATTTATTAGTCAACTAGCGGGATACCCGGCGTTGCTCGGGGAAATCAGTGGGGTTACTCAGTTGGTGATCGACCGCTTGGTTGAAAGGAAAATACCCAAAAAATCGAACTATCTATCTATCTATCTATCTAGCGATTAGGCCACTGCGCCGTTAAGGGTATACCCATGGATTCACACGTACGTGATGTTAATCTGTACGCACCGCCATCTATTGATGAATAGAATTTTTATGAATTTTTAACTTTTTAACTTTTTTAAATTTTGGATGTGGCTTCCAGACGTGCTGATTCTGAAAATATCTTTAGTTTTCCTGTAGGCTGCGGAGTTCTCTAGTTATGCGAGTAAGAACTAATTCGGCTGAACAACTTTATATATAGAAGACTACATGTTATTAGTTCATCTCTATCGCTGCAGAAACCGTGATCGAATAAGAAAGTCGTTGTTCGTGTAAAATCGGAGCATATGTTTCATGAGCGGCTAGCTGCCACGTATAGATGGCGGCCTGGCCAATAAGGTATGGTGGAGATAACAGGCTGTATTGTTGTTTGCTGCTACACATAGTGCTGGTTGCGAACTATTGTACCAAAAGAAATCATTGTGCTCTGACTCAGCAAGCGAGAATGCGGATTGTTGGTGGCTTTTATTCGGCATTTCAATACTGTGTATGAATAGCGTTAGCATAAAATCACAATAAGGCGGCCTCACGCGGGGAATACACGATTAGTCGAAATTTTTCATCGGCCATTGCTAGTTCACTTAGGCACGAAGGGTCGTTGTCGTAACAGGTACTACAGATATGTACCCGAGGTAGTTTTAGGTTGTTTAGTATTATGTTTATATTTTTATATAATTAGGAGGTAGTTTTAGGTTGTTTAGTATTATGTTTATATTTTTATATGAGGTATGTTTTGGGTTAGGGTTAGAGTTAGGGTTAGGGTTAGTGTTAGGGTTAGGGTACACTTCTGTAGTGCAAGTCTGGTACACTTTGTGTATATATATATATATGTACCTCTGGTACATATCTGTAGTACCTGTTACGACAACGACCCCTTGAGCTTCACTTAGTTGTTAGATCTTCTGCTTTCTTGTTGTCATCCTACAGTGTGCCTTGCTTTAGTTGTGGCATACTGTGGTATCGAATTATCTTCGTACAGTGTTAGTATGTCGGGCTGTCTGTCTTACAGTGACTGAATATAGTTAGTCAGTTATTTTGGAAATCGTTTGTTCGCGTGCGTGTGCGCGTACGTGTGCTCCTGCGTGCGTGCGAATGTCCGTGCGTACGTGTGCTCCTGCGTGCGTGCGAAGGTCCGTGCGTACGTGCATGCGTGCATGTTTAGTTATTTACGTTCATGTGCGAGCGCGTGTGCTCGTTTTAATATATTTTTTAGCCAAATGTTTGCGCTAAAAGTTGCGTAATTGAGTGTGTATATTACTGATTGCGTTTGTGCATTCCGTAACGTTATGCTGTTAAATAATTCCGTAAATTAACTATCGTGAAAAGGAAGGCGCCCTGCCCGACACCGGTTACTCAATTTCTCCTGCATATAGGCGGAAACTGTATTATATAAAGGAAGGTAAAGAGCTAAAGTGTGAAACTGCCTCACACCAGGATGGAAGTAATAAAACCCGCCATCATAAACCTTCGAATAAAGCTGACCCACTGGCACTCTGATTGCCAGCACTGATGGGAATGACATCACAGCCCCACGCCAATTCTCCACCATACTGAACACTCGGTCGTTTCACACGCCGGGGCGTACGCGGCCGTCGCAAGTCATTGTCGTTCTCTGTAAAGCGTGGCCGTGTAACGTGGCCGATGCTACAAAGCCAATCACTCAGCGGCTCCCGTGAAGGATAAAGGCACCGTAGTTGTTGGTGGCGTGGTAAACGGGATAGGGTTGAACAGCGCCGGCGAGTAGAGAGAGAGGAAAAAAGAGAGGGAGAGAGAGAGAGAGGGCGAGAGAGAGAGAGAGAGTGAGAGAGAAGGGGTGAAACAGAGGGAGATAGAGATAGAGAGAGAGCGAGAGAGGGGGAGAGAAGGGGGAGAACAAGGGAGAGACAGAGACAGAGGGAGAGAGAGGGGAGGAGAGCGAACGAGAGGGGAGGAGGAGAGACGCTGCATACGCGTGTTAATAAGCGTGGAATGCCCCTCCCCCTCTCCCCCCACGGTGCCGGCCGAGACACGGACAGATGTGTCGAAGGCTGGTCCGTGAACGACACCTGCACGTGTTATAGTGTGAAACAATAGACGCGTGTGTAACGCGTGCGGTGATGCGTTAGTGGTCGCTGCGAGTGTTAGGTGCTGGTACCATTCACGGCGCTGGCTAGTCGTTAATGAATTAATGCGGTGATTATTCGGTGTGCTCAGCTGGATGAAGATTCTGTCAATCTTCACGTAATGTGTGAAGTCTAGGACTGCAGTATCATTGGGCTTACATGCCTGTATAAGTCATTTTTGTCACATTAATTAGAAAAATTATGGAGTTTGTAATATCAAGCAGATATTTTATATCATGTATTCCTGGTAGAATATGCACACGGTTATCATCGACTTTATATAAGACAAATCTCATCATGGGTAGTTGGGTACCGTATGGATGAATGCTATTATTGTGTACGTATGTCCTAATTGATATTTATTCAATTCCCAGTTTGCTTTTGTGGGAATATTTCTATGAAAACCTCCGTTATAGTTATTTCTAAAAAGAACAGAGCCAACAGTGCACGCTAGTACACAGACTTACAAGAAAAACACACACGAAGAAATGATGACACTCAAGAGTAAACAACTTTCAGAGTAAATATTTTCCGAATGGAGAGATAGTGGCCGCATGCATGCACGCTTGCATGTTTTTACTCGGTGAAAAGAGACGCTTTGAGTAACCAATGTTATCTGTGAGGTAATTGTTACCTTCTCTGTTGTCTTACTTGTGCCTTACATCTACTACCCGACGTGGGATTTGTATTAGGCCGTGCGTATAGTTGACTCTCTAGTGGACTACTGTAAGGACGGTAAGCATCGACTCTGGGTCAGCGATTTGCTCCCCTGAGATAATTTTCCAGACAAGCCTTCTCGTGGGCTTTGTTTGCACCAGATCCGCTGTCCTCCTTCCCCGCGACACTGATGGACTGATAAGCTCGAGAATCAGCGCAGAGACCCGTGTAATCTATGTGTGTGCGCCTGTGTGCGACTGCGCGAGAAATTCTGAGAGAAGAACAGTCTACAACTGAGCGTGGAGTTATATTTGCATTGTTCGATGCCGCGAGTTGCCGTGCAAGTTTTTTCTCACCTGTGCGCGTACGTATGAAAAAATGGGGTTTGGTGCGTATTTGTCTACTGTCGGCCGAGCGGTGCGTGTCTTGGCGGTTTCAAGTTACACAGACGCGTTGATAGAAAAACACGAGTGCGGTTAAAGTAGAGGTGGCGATCCACGGCCGTTTTTTTCTCTATCGCGCCGCAAAAAGATCAGCGAATGGTATTATAAACCAGTTTGCTTGTATTCGCATGCATTTGACAGATTTCTACAAATTGCTAACGTAAACGACGGCAGCCGCGTCCAGGCATTTAATTCTCTCACGCCGGTCGCGTGAACGTACGCCGATGGGGGTGGAGGGGATGGGGTGCGCAGCTAGTAAAAAATAGGCGCGGAAGACACGTTCTGTTGCTGCTTTCTCTTCGCAGGAATAATTTTCGATACGAAACAACATCGAAAGTGTCTTTTCCACGTGTAATGTGTAAGCGTTATAAAGGCGCGAAAATACTTAAAGACGCGCATTTTTCAGCTGTAATCCATGAAAGCTACTGTTAAGAGAAATCACACGGCAGCGATTCGGCAATTTATGAAAGTGAAGGGGATCGAGCTTCGTCTTTGTGCACGCTACCCAAATAGCCCCGGGCCGTAGAGTATAAGAGCCTGCAGTAAAGACGCGTCACGCCTGGAGACTGATAGCAACTGACACGTGAACCTTCTTTACCTGTGTTGCCAGCAACTTCACTATATAGGGTCGAAGATGTATTTTCTTGCTGTATCTGACGCTACGGTCTCTGTTCTTGGCTCTATCCTTTAAACGTCTAAACTTACAAATCGTTGACAACGATTAATAAATCGTTTTATATTATAAATCTAAATATATCATAATGTCAATTCGTTTAATCATTCGCATTCGCAACCTAACAAGGCGTCTGATCTGTGCGACCGCGCGAGGGACGTACGTGAGAGAGCCTGTTAAACAAAAATGACCCGATTAAGAAATCATTGACAACGATTAATAAATCGTTTTCTATTATAAATCTTCATATATTCTAATAACCCACATATTGAAACAACATGGCGTAGCAAAGTGGAGCTGTGCCCCGTAGAGGCCGTCTAGTCCTCTTCTTCACACATGTCTCTATATTGTACATCAATTCGTTTCACACACATATTTGCAGGAGCGTATAATGACATTATGTCATTATACGCTCCTGATATTTGTAATGTAAATAACGACGTCACATAAAAATCAATTTTATCTCAGTTAGATCCATAATAATGAGTTATTATGGATCTAACTGTGATAAACTTATTTTTATGTGAACTCTAGAGGTCCTATGAAATTATTCAATCAATAACGACGTCGTCTGCTTTGTTTGTTACAGGACGAGCACTACATCTTCAGCGTGCAGGCGCGCGACGCCGGTCGTCCGCGTCTGTCGTCGGCCTGCACCGTCTACATCAACGTCGGCGACCTGAACGACAACGCGCCCGTCTTCACGCGACAGTCGTACAGCACGGACGACGTGCGCGAGGACGTAGCTACCGGCTCCAGCATCATCACCGTCACCGCCACCGACGCCGACTCCGGTACGTCTGCTGCTCCCCGCGCGCCCGCGTCTGTCTGCGTGTCTGTCTGGCTGGATGGCTGGCTGGCTAGCTGTGTCTGGTTGGCTGGCTGTTTGTCTGCCTGTCTGTCTGTCTCTCCGTCCGTCCGTCCGTCCGTCTGTCCGTCCGTTCGTCCGTCCGTTCGTCCGTCCGCCTGGCTGGCTGGCTGGCTGGCTGGCTGGCTGGCTGGCTGGCTGCCTGTCTATCTGACTGGCTGGCTGGCTGTCTGACTATCTATCTTTCTGTCTCAATTTAACGTCCGTCAATCTTTCCATCCAACCGTTCTATCCATCCACCCGCCCACCTGTCCGTCCGCCCGTCCATGCATACACGTATGCATGCCTCTATCCACCAATCGTCTATATAGCATCCGTCGATCCATACATCTATCTGTGATGGCGGTGTGCATGGTTGCTGTGATGGTTAGATGGAAACATTCGGGAGTTTAATCATCAGCAGCCGTCAATTACGATAGGTGTTGGACGTTGATGTGCCCCCGTTGCATTTGTCAGAGATAATATCAATGCATTGAATCTAATTGCATCTGACTACTATGATCAGCTTGTCAATCTTCGTCAGTAAATCGCAACTGGCTTTTAGCATTTTCGGGCTAGGGATTTCGATGTGATCGAGTGCGCAAATCAAAGTCTAGTTGGCCCTCCATGATATTCCGATATTCACATACAATAGACATATTCTCACACGATTGCCTCTCACCTGGTGCACAAATCAAAGTTTAATCGCCCCCCCCCCCTATAATATTCTGATATTCACATACTTACATGTCACCCATTCACATACAAGTCAATACACATCTTCTCACACGATCCCCTCTCACCAAAAGTCCCACAAATCACAAAGTCTAATCAGCAGCGTCTGCCCCCCCCCCCCTTCTCTGTCGCCGCAGGTGAGAATGCCGAGCTGACCTACAGCATCGTCGACGGCGACCCGAAGCGGCAGTTCGGCATCCACGCCAACGGCACCGTCTACAACGCGGCAGCGCTCGACCGCGAGACCGACTCCTACTACAACCTCGTCGTGCGCGCCACCGACCGCGCGTCGCCACCGTCGGCGCGTCTCTCGGCGACGGCGTCCGTCACCGTCATCCTGCGCGACGTCAACGACATGGCGCCGGCGTTCCGCACGCCCGACTACGCGTCGGTGCGCGAGGGGGCGCCGCTCGGCACCGTCGTCATGGTCGTCGAGGCGGAGGACGCAGACGAGGGCAAGAACAGCTACGTCGAGTACAGCCTCGCGAGCGCGCCGGGAGGCGAGTTCTCTCTCGGGCCTGTCGACGGCGTGCTGAGAGTCACGGGAAAGCTGGACAGGGAAGGTGGGTACGGTGGATGAATCGTCGTCGCGTAGGTCGGGTCAGCGAGTGTCGCGACGTTACCGAGAAGATATTCTTGTACTGGCTGCCTAGTTACTTAGTTTCCTAGCTACAATGTTGGAGAGACCTACGTCTGACTGACAGAAAAAAATTGCGAATCTGCGACGTGGTATCAAAAACATTTATCGCTAACGCACTGGAGGCTTTCCCAGAGAAACCATATGCCATAGTGCCGCCCTATGCCTCTCATGCAGGGATGCATATCTCTTCTAAGTCACCATACATTCTAGTGTTGCTCAAGTTTGCCGCAGATATGGAGGCTATGGTCACATAAATATATATTATATGTTATGGTAACTACCGTTTCGTTTAATCATTACTGACTATACCTCGCCGTCCTTTCTAGCCACAGAGAATTACACTCTCGTCGTCACGGCGACCGACAAGGGCCAGCCTCCGCACTCGACCGTGCAGCGCATCTCCGTCAAGATCCTCGACGACAACGACAACAGTCCTGTGTTCGCTCGCTCGGAGTATCGCGCCGTGCTGCCAGAGGACACCAGCGTCGGCACCATCCTCCTGCAGCTGAATGCGACCGATCGCGACGCGGGAAACAACGGAGCAGTCAGGTGCGTGTGCACGGTAATCACTCTAGTGGTGCCACAGAATAATAATATCACACCCCTCTCAGGAAACTATGGTTAGATCAAGTTCAAACTGTAACTCGTGCAGGGTTCGAGTTACGAAATTTTAATTAATAAAAATATTTAATATATATTTCAATGATGATTTAATAATTAAAATATTGATTATATAGTATCTAAATAATAAATAAAAATAGTAACATGGGGGAAAAAAATTAAAACTCGACCACCCTGCCCCACAGGTACTACATTGTGGACGGCGACGACGCCCTCGATTTCGCACTCGACCCGCGTTCAGGCATCCTGACCGTGCGAAACCCGCTCGACCACGAGGGCGTGCCGGCGTACCGACTCACCGTGCACGCCGAGGACCTGGGCGTGGAGCCGCGCCGCGACGTCGCCGTCGTCGTCGTCACGGTGACCGACGTCAACGACTCGCCGCCCGTCTTCCTGCACTCGCCCTACGTCGTCTACGTCCTCGAGAGCATCGCCGAGACGCCGGCCGCCGTAACCACGGTGACGGCCGACGACGCCGACTCGCCGCCGAACGCGCAGTTGACGTACTCGCTGCAGGAGAGCCACGGCGGACTGTTCCAGATCGACGTCGTCACGGGAGAGATCCAGGTGACGCGGCCGCTCGACCGGGAGACGCGGGAGGAGTACTGGTTGACGGTGCTGGCGACGGATTCCGGTGAGTGTTATGTTCACACGTGTTTCCATATGCATACAATATTCTCTGTAGGTAGTAGATGCAGTAAGTATGTGTGTATGTAGTAAGTAGTAGTATGTAGTAAGTAAGTAGGTAGTAGTAATGTTCATACGTGTCCATATGTATAACAATATTATATGTAGGTAGTAGATGAGAGCGATGGGGTAGTAGAACGACGTAGAAACAACGTCCGTTAAAACAGAGGAAAGGGAAAGTCCAAATTCACTAATATTAGAACACCTATGAATTTTCTGGCGTAGGTATGTTATTTAGCATGCGTAGTATTTACTTTGGATAATATCGTAAGTTACTACCATCGAGGTTTTGATACTACTATACATTCAGTAGATTAGTGGCGTTGTGATGTGCTAGTGGTGCAGGCGTTTCATATAAGCGGTAGTTGGGTTTTATAATGCCAATTCACGCCCTAGGTTACGTATATATAGTTTCGTCACTGTCTTGTAAAGCCCCACCCAATGTAGAATCATGTAAATCTCGGCTAGCGCAGGCTTAGATGCGTCGACGTTTTCTGCTCTCATATGTAAATTTTACCCAAAGCCCTCTGTTCAGATACATGTCCGACGATGCGTGTATGCACGCTTTCCGCGTGTGTTCGTAAAGCCTAGAGATGGGTTTAATCCTGTATGTGGGTTATGTTGTCTGGTAATATCATATCAAGAGTGGATAATAGAGATCTCTATTATCCACTCTTGATCATATCAATCTAATATGTTGTTATCACGTGTATGGCGGATCGAGTAATCTAGGGTGCTGAATGAATTCGTTCTTGTATGGAGTCGTCAACCAGAGTTGAATGTTTTGTTCGTCGGTGGCAAATTAAATACACAAAGTTTGCCCACCTGGGTATCCGCTCGACCTATAAACTGATGTAAAATAATTATCTGAAAGGACCATTTGAATATGATCTTTGAGACGTAATTATTTCTTATAGCGTCAGTTCAACCTGAGCGAGTTCAGTTTCCTGTCGCTGTACTTCAGTTGAAACCTTTATAGAACGGTCACCTGTCTATGAAAGTCACTATTAGCGTTACTCCTTGTGTTGCAGTTATACAGTGAAACAACTTCTATAGAACGGACACATGACTATAAAGGACATTATTGGCGTTTCCCTTGAGTGTCCCTTATGTACAGGCGTGGCTCTACTTGTCGGGTTCCGCGCATTGCTCTCTGGTGAGGTCTCTCGCTAGAATCTGGTTGCACAGGCATGGCGAGTGTACACAAATGTGTCTTTGTCTGTTGGCAACAATCGAACCGTGCGGTACTCGCGCCTCTACAGCGGGCAGAAAATTAAACAACCAAGTGTGTCTTCGCACGCAACGTTTACACTATAGCAAGTTAATCGGTAGCGCTGTCGGGTATTTAAACTAGTGATCATAGCTGCTGGATCATTGTAGATGTGGTCGCTTGCGTCCTAACCGCTGGGTGCTGCAGTTATAGCTATAGCGTGGCCGAACACAGATATACGTACTTGGGCAGCTGTGGAAACAAGCGCGCTTGCAATATACACGCAATCAAGAGCACATGAATCATTTATAAAACTATCATTTATGACCTTTTATTTATTACTATTATATATTATTATTATTTTTATATATTTATTTTTTATTATTTTGTGTGTGTTGACGTCGTACATCTGGCATCGTGCACCGCCAACGCGATGCGCACAATTAATTGCGCAATAGGTGGTTGCTTCTTGGAGCTAACTATAGCTACAGCGCGGTTGTCTGTACGCGTAGTTAAAATTATGTTTATGGCGCCGTTAATATTCCTGGTGGCGTCCAAACATCACCGAAAAGTACTTGCACTGCGTTTGTGAACCTCGGGGCTAGTCGGCTCTCTTTGCTGCCGCGGGTGCTCGAGTTTTCTTGAGTGTTTTTTTTTTCAACATATTTCATTTCCACTGTGGGGTTCGAGGCATTTCCGGTACTCGAAGCACTCGCGAGTGCGACGCTCTCGGAGATTAACGATTGCAAAGGTGATTCCTCTCTCTCTCTCTCTCTCTCTCTCTCTCTCTCTCTCTTTCTCTCGCTTTCTCACTCTCTCTCTCTCTCTTTCTTTTTCTCACTCTCTCTCTTTCTTTCTTTCTCTCTCTCTCTTCCTCTCTCTCTCTCTCTCTCTCTCTCTCTCTCTCTCTCTCTCTCTCTCTCTCTCTCTCTCTCTCTCTCTCTCTCGCTCGGTGTGCGCGCTCT